GTCATGCGATAGCGCGTCCAGAGGCGACTTATGACGCTCTGTGTAGTGTTAAGAGTGAAAGCCACAGCACGTTGCCTGGAACCAGCTTCCAACATTCCGACGGCTCGCATCATCACTTCTCGGGTTAAATGATGTCGTCTCTCCATAATAATGTAAATTGTTTCGGTTCCGATGCAGATATTGTAATGATTTTGTCAAAACGCTATAACTCATTTTTATACAAAACTACATTGACAATCGATTTTCTTCTTATTATCGAATTTTAAACAATATTCCTTGTTTAAATGTTAAAACTCACTAAAAAGTATCAATAGCGATACAAAAAAGTTAATATAGTTAACCCTAATTGCAGCAATACTCTTAAACGTACTTGATCCCTAGACACTTTTGATGTGTGTATTTGATAATCGTGAAATAGTATACAGAGTTTCACACTATCTATCTCGTTTTGCAAGCATGTAATGACGCGTGTTAAATCAAGACAGAACATAAAATCATAGATTACTAAGCAACAGAGCAACTACTCAATAACAGAGTATGTATAATATGATAATAATGGTTACTAAGGTCACCATATAAATTTAAAAAAATATAAAAAAGACTTGCTCAACGATATCTACTTGACTATACTACATGTTTCCGCTAGTAAAAATACTTGTAACATCAATAATTTCAACAACTCAACTGTTTTTTTTTCTTTTACTTAACCCTAGAAAGATAACCTACGTCGAAACGACATATTCGATTTTGAAAAATCGGTATAATTGCTTCGTATTAAGCATCAGTGCACCCGCCGTTCCTGCCAACTTAGTCGACCCACAGAGCTTGCAGAAGACACTGGTGTCACTGTGAGTGAGACTCTACTTATCTAAATAATGTACCTACCACACGTCGAAGTGACGTATGGTTATCCTTAGCGTTAGTTTTTGACTTTGGTGTCATCGTGTAGTCAATAGGTTTTCGTGATTTATGTGCGAATAAATATTATATATTTTTAACTACAAATTATATTTTTTTTCGGGCTATGTTATTACAACAAAATGACGTGAATAAGTTTTGTAAAAGATGCAGAAATATCCCGGTTACTACAAGCATTGAGTGACGAAGAGGTCGAACGGTCGGATAGTGAAAGAGATGACGATATTTTACAAGACGACGTACAAAGTGACATCGAAGATCATGGGCTAAGTTCGCTATTTGTACGTCCCACTGCTGTGCACGGGGCTCTTCTCAGGCGAGGGTTTTAGTCCACCCCGACCCAATCAGACAGCCGACCTCATCAAACAGTCCGCCACGTTGGCCCAAGGCGAGTTGAGGACTTGACACGTTTCCCGAAGGTTGTGATCCTTCTTCAGGTTTCATCACGATATTTTCCTTCACCGACACGCTAAATGATAATAATAATAATAATAATAAACTATAATACATAAAGTTGATTTTCTAACTTTCATAGTTATAATTATAAATCGGCAGATATACAAACCATATTTGTGTTGCAAAAACGAGCGATTCGTTCTGTGTACCGTTTAGGTTCTCGGGTATCTCTCAGAGAAAAGTTTAAGGAGACAGGTATCATGACTGTGGCATCGCAGTACATTTACTCAAATATTTTGTATACCCGTTAAAATATACATAATTTCGTTAAGAAAGAAGATAATTCATAATATTAACCTTAGAACTAAGTCCAAACTCCGTGGTACCACGATTTCTAAGGTAAACGATTCTTTTATGGCGAACTGTATACGTTTTTACAATAAGAATCCGAAGAATATATTAAGATTATCATTTCTTAAGTTTAAAACTGACATTAAAAGTATTTTAATTGAAAAATCATATTACAAAATTGAAGAGTATGTGTTAGATAAAAAAGTATGGAAAGACAACAAGAGTCTACATTCCACACAAATTTGATTCAAAGTGTATTGAAGTTTATTTGAAAAGAGCAATCCCTAGAGTTTCTTGCTCGTTCTTCTCGGGGAGGTCAGCGTAGTGAACGAGCAGTAGCTTAAATGTGACGTTTTCAAGTGTAAATTTATTTTACCTGTGGAATAAATGATTCTTTGACTTTGACTTTCTTGACTTTCTTTCTTTGACTTTGCGTGGTGCGTTTGTTAAATTATTGTGTTGTTGTTAAAGTTTTTGTTTATTGTAATATTTTGTAATAAATAAGGAGAGGCGCGGGGCGTTGCATCATAGTCAGTCGTGACCTTTGTATTCTTTCAGTTTTAAATATATAGTGGTGTGTAAAATCATTTTTTTCACTATAAACTTGATATCATCGTGTTCGTCTTGTTGTGCTCTTTCTATAGACATATTTCACTTATCTGTATGTGCCGTGTGCGATAAGAAAGTGGACAATAACATTAAAAAATAGTTCGTTATTAATGAGTTTGTGACAGTGATTTGCGCCAATGACCTTGAGTGGCCGTCGATCATTGACTTGTAAACCTTTCACTTTTTTTTTTTTTTAACTGTCCGTTTCCGCATCATCTGAACGCTAAATTCGTCAACATCGCTACGGTGTTCCATAGCTTAGCGGTTACATGCGTTATACGTACCGGCGCGCGCGGCATGAGAGACTCGAGTTCGAATCCGTGGGACACAGAACAAAGCAAACGTTTTTTATTTTTATTATTTTTTATTTTATTTTTATTAGTGATTAGTATCTATTAGACATTTGTTTCGCCATTATCATTTTGTACAACATAACAATGAATAGCGAAAACAATAAGTGCGGTGGTTGCCTTAAGGTAATCAAAAATAAACGATTTCTGCGATGCTGCGTGTGTTGTCAATGTTATGACCTGGAATGTGCAGGTGTATCAGAGCAGCGCTTCCGTAATACATTGACAGATGAGCATCGAGTTGCCTGGAAATGTGTTCTCTGCATAAGTAAGCTGCCGAAGACTGATAACAGTAATACACCTGTGCGTGCTAGCGGTGGTGGCATTACCATTAGCCGCGGAGCTTCTGTGGCGAGTCCGCCGGAATGCGTGGAGGTGTCGACTGTTGCACCTGTTACTTCTTCTGCTGCAAAAGAAATTAATTCGCCTCTTAATACCGGGGTGAGAATGACTGACCTACAGGAGCTAATAAAGGAGGTCCGTTTGTTTCGAGAGGAGATGACCGCGACGCGACATCAGATGGGGCTACTGACTGACACCTTGGCCACGCTCACGGCAAGACTTGATATTTGCGAAGGCAATATTAATTCACTTTCCGAACGAGTTGCCGTCTTAGAGGGTCGTGCAGATCATGGCCCGGGGGCAGGTAACAACAACCAATTCTTGGCGGCGATGGAGCAATTGAAGTCGGAGCTTAATGACCGCGATCAAGAACTTTTATTAAATGATGTCGAAATTGCATGCGTGCCCGAGATGAAAGGAGAAAGCCTACCTCATGTAGTCATGACATTGTGTACTAAGTTGGGTTTGAGTTTGACCGAACAGGATGTCGTGAGCGTTTCGCGTGTGGGTCGAATATTTGGTTTGGAGGATGACCCCGTGCCACCTCGCCCACGTCTCATCGTTGTCCGCTTTGCACGTCGAGCCGTTCGCGATCGACTGCTGAAGGAAGCCAGGGTTCGACGAGGAGCCACTACTGAGGGCACAGGTCTGCCGGGCCCGTCTCGTCGATTTTATGTAAACGAGAGGCTTACTAGATTCAACCGGCAGTTATTTCGACAGACGCGCCAATTAGGTGAGGAGCGCAAGTGGCGTTTTGTATGGACGAGAGATGGCAAAGTATACGCTCGTCAACAGCAGGGTGCGGATGCCCCTCGTCACAGAATACGATCAGAGTCAGATTTGGTTCGGGTTTTCAGTTCCGGTGTCGTTTGAGCCTATACAAAGAAAAGCAAATATAAATAATAATATTTTTTGGCAAAAGGTGTGTTATCTTTTGTTGTCATTATTTTATTACAACTTTCTTACCTTCAGCATGTTATTTTTAATAATATTTGTGTCCAACATTGTTCGTCACTGTGTAATTTTATCTGCAGGTTGCCTAAAACATGACATTGCTTGTTTGCAGCTACTGTATATTTTTAACGCTATGTACTTTGGCCAATTTTCACAAATTGTGCTTTTCTGGCATTTCTTTACGCATAATTTTGTGTTCTTATTTTTATTCACATTTTTGTTACATATGTATGCTACAGCAATAAAATATAATTTCGAGGGTAGACGCGGCGCAATGCCACAAAGTAAAAAGCAATGCACATTACTATACACACTACACACATATAATATTATGATGCTTAATCAATCTTATTTAATTTGTATCAATCTCAATTTATTTCTAATTTTACATTATAATATTTACAATTTACTGATACTGTGCTTAATTCTACTAACAATTTGTGTGTTGCATAATAGTATTACTTACCTCGCTATGTCATCCTCGAGTAGACTTTGCTTTGGTTGTTTGACAACGTTTCGTAATGTATGGCCTGTAGCAGGTGTAACTGCTAATATTCGTGTTTTAAAATGACTTGCAGGACTAAATTTCTTAAATTGGGACTGTACAATGCAGGCTCCCTGAATACAGGACACGACGATTTCCTCGTAGCAATGAGCCGCTTTCAACCGGATATCGTGGCAATCAACGAATCCTGGTTACCATTGGGACAAGAAGCGCGCGCCCCGAATGTGCCCGGTTATAGTCTGAGAAGCACTCCGCGTCCGTTGCATATGCGCGACGGAAGGGGGGGTGGTGTTGCCTTTTATGTAAAAAAAGACGTTCGCGTGCGCTATGTAAAACACCCAGAGGCTAACATTGAGCAGATGTGGCTTACTGTAAGGGCGAACGCTCAAAGCCTTGTTATTGGAACTGCCTATAGACCACATTGGGTCAATATTGATACGTTTATTGATGCGTTAACGGACACACTTGTATACTTTTCGAAACATGACAATGTAGTTTTGTTGGGGGATTTTAATATAAATATGCTTGATCAGTCACATAGTAACACAATAAAATTAATTCAATTTTTAAATTACATGGGGCTTCAGCAAGTAGTCAATGGTGCCACACACTTCTCAACCGTTACTGAAACTCTCATAGATCTTGTTTGCACAAACTTACAGGTTCGGGAAGTAACTGTTTCTAATATTACGGGCTCGTTCGGTCATGCAATGATCACTGTAAATCTGTTAGTGAAGAAAAGTAAAACACCCCCGAAGTCCGTTACTTACCGACCTCTCTCTAGTATAGACATCAATAATTTCAACTATGATTTAGAATTGATTGACTGGGAGTCCATCTGTGCAGCTCGCACTGTGGATAGTATGGTTGACGGATTTAATTATTTGGTCTTGTCTCTTTTTAACTTTCATGCTCCGGTCAAATCCATCAAAATAAAACACAATAAGACTTTACCTTGGATTACCGACACAATCAAACAAATGATGAACCTGCGTAATGAAGCCTTCGATAACTATCGCCGCACTAAGTCTGATGTTCATAAACGGTATTACAAGGATCTCAAAAATTTGGTTGTGTCAAGTATCTCCGCTGAGAAATCTGCCTACTTTGATCATTTGATAAACTCACAGGACTGCAGCAGTCAAACGTTCTGGAAGAATTTAAAACAAAAAATTCTAGTGGATCCTAGTAGAACCGATCACCTTCCAGACCGTTTTGGCGATCCTGACGTTATTAACGCACACTTCTTAAATTTGCCTAGTTCCAGTGAAGTTCCTATGTCGGAGTTCGAGAAGTTTTCGAGGGACAGATTTGGTGAGGCGTTGTTTGAATTGGATACAGTCACGGAAGCTGCAGTGGCTACGTACATTTTAAGTGTAAAGTCAAATGCTGTTGGGTCGGATGGTATTAGTAGGGAGATGATCTTGCTTACCCTTCCTCGTACTTTAGGTGTTATTACGAATATAATAAATAGATCAATCACGACGGGTACCGTCCCTAGCCAGTGGAAGCAAGCGCTGGTCACGCCACTTCCTAAGGTCAATAATCCTACCGAACTTAAAGATCTGAGACCCATAAGCATCTTGCCATTCCTGTCAAAGATCCTTGAAAAGGCAGTTTATTCTCAGCTAGTTAAATTCGTTGAAGCTAATAATGTTCTTCCTGTTCTTCAGTCGGGATTTCGTAAGGGCAGAGGTACTATTACGGCCTTGTTGGATGTGACGGACAACATTCTCGCTGAACAGGACTCTGGTCGTGGTACTATATTGACGCTGCTAGATTTTTCCCGTGCTTTCGACAGTATCAATATTTCTCTGCTTCTTGCAAAATTGACCTATTACGGCTTGAATGGTTCTGCAGTGCAATGGTTTGCGAGTTACTTTTGTGCTCGTTCGCAGGCAGTCAAATTGTCTGTGAGTGACGGCTCCAATGTGGTCTCCGATTTTCTTCAGGTACAGCGTAGAGTGCCACAAGGTTCATTACTGGGACCGCTACTGTTCGTCATTTACAGTGCTGATTTGCCTAGAGTTATAAAGCATTGTAGGTACCATTGTTACGCAGATGACGTTCAGTTGTATATATCAGTGATTCCTAATAATTTATGCGAAGCGCAGACGCGTATGAACGATGACCTTGAGAGAGTTGCTGAGTGGTCTGCTCGTAATGCACTAATTCTAAACCCGATGAAGTCCAAGTTCATTGTATTTGGTAGCAAAAAGCAAATCAGCAACATCGTAGACAGAGATCCACACATCGAGATCGCGGGTAGTGATGTGGCTCGAGTAACAGAGGCAAAAAATCTTGGCATTACACTTGATGGTCAATTACGTTTTGAAAGTCACGTACTAGATCAAGTTAGGAACTGCTTTTATCGTCTTAAAATATTATACAAAATACGTAATTATTTAAGTGAGCATGCTCGTATTACCATCTGCGAATCTCTGATCCTTTCCAAACTTAATTACGGAGATATACTTTACGGTCCTCGTTTGTTGAGTAAAACACAACACCTGATTCAACGTGTACAAAATGCTTGTTGTCGATTTTGCTTTAAAATCCCACCTCGCAGCCGCATCACGCCATATTTAAACAATGCAAACATGTTAAATATGGACTCGCGAAGACATCTACATCTCGCGTGTATGCTGTTTGGCGTGATAAAGTTCCAAAAACCAGAGTACTTGTATGGAAAGTTAAAATTCTCCACTTTTCACGACAAATTTTCTACTAGAACCGTGAGACCTCTGTTGGCGGGACAAATTCATCGCACTGTGGCCTTTACTGGAAGCTTCCGCTATCAAGCAACGAAATGTTGGAATAATATTCCACCCCCGCTTAGACTCCTTAAAAGTAAGTTTACGTTTAAAAAACATTTGAGGGAATTTATATTTGATAGGCAAAAACTGGGTATTCCTAAACGCTTTACATAGCGGAGGCTTCTAGAATGAAGTCCCCTTGCTTCTTGGACATTTATTATCATCATTTTATGTTACAATGGCTTTCATCGATATTAAGTAGGTACTGATTATTATTATTATTTTATTTTAATTATACCAATTATGAATTTGTATTAATATTTTTTCAAATTTTTATTTTTTTATTTTTTACTGTTACTATTTTTTTTTAAATATTTTATAATGCACATAATTCTCACGTGATACTGACATATGCACGCTACATTTACCTCACAATGTTTTTGTTTTTGATGCACCGCAACGCGCTACCCTCGAAGGTGGTGGCTGAAAATCAGTGCCTTGCTCGTGAGCAAATTTTGCACTGAGCCACGACCTATTTGGCTTGCTTTAGCACACACACGCAGCTGTTGATAATTAGGTTAGTATTATGTTTTTATGCTTTTTTTCGTTTTAATTTTGATTTCTGTGTCTCTTAATCAATTTACTCTATTATATTGTTGTGTGTGTGATGCAAGACAATAAACGTTTTATCTATCTATCTATCTAAATATTGTAGAAATTCTTAAACAAACCTTTTTCTACCAACTTTCTTGGAGTGTTGACTTGTCTGGACCTGCGTGACGTCACCCCACGGTCGAAAACCCTCCTCCTCTTTCTTTACACTATGCATATCAAAAATCAAAATCAAAATATTCTTTATTTCACTTGGAATCGTCATATTGTTTAAATAAAACATCAGAGATCGAGACTACCTCCATGAGCTAAACGGGTTACTACCACGGATTTTTGTCATCCAAGTACGCAGAAGTTGTATAATAACCTTTAGTATAAAGTTTTTGTTTCGTAAAACCTCGTGTCAACCTCGTGAATGGCATCGAAAATTTTGTATATCAACCGGAATCTTGTTATAGAAGCGTGTATACGCTTCTATAACAAGCCCCTTAAACAAATTTGTCACTTTGTGAAGACGACTATCAAGAACAGCTAGTTTATTTTTGTCCCTATTATTAATGTTCTGTCTGTCACTATTTTTCATAAAGAGATTACTATTCCTCTTAACGTAAATTACATTTTCATAGATGTACTGTGAGGCTAGTGTAAGAATGTTAATTTCCATACACTTATCTCTCAAAGATACTTGGGGCCCAGAATGTAAATTACCCTAACCGCACGTTTCTGCAGAACAAAGATTCTATTGATATCGGCGGCATTACTCCAAAGCAAAATGCAAAATATCTTAATTTTTATATCGTTCAATGAGCAATTTAGTTTTTAAATTAAATATATGTGATATCAAAATATATACGCCGTCTTATTGTCAACGACGCGCCATTGAAAAGCAGAATATCAAAAAATTGCAATGGCCGTTGATTAGTAGCTCCATGGCTAGCTAACTTTTAGCGGAATATCAAACGTCCAGAAACGTTCACTGACTCTCTATTGGCACTTTACCATGGGTTACATGGTATAAAATAAAATATATATATGTTGTGGATATTTGATGAGAGTTTACTGGATACTGAATGAGGATTGACTGACTGACTGACTGAAGATTACATTTTGTATGAGCTACTTATACTAATTTGGTACGTGTGTTCTATGCTGATTCCAAAGGCATGATTGTAACTTTTGCTTGCACTAAGACGTGCCTGAATATCGGAAGAGGGTTAGACATTCTGGCACGTCTGTGGCTGGTACAGTACTCCCCCTCAAAAAGGGAAAAAAAAATTATTAGCACAAGAACAACTTAACGTACCAAACGATATTACAAAAACTTAATAATAAATAATATTTAACATGAAATAAACTTTGTGTTATACATAGACAATTGAATAAGTTACAGATAAAATTATTTGCACTTGGATTTGACTTGAGCGACAATGGACGGTTTTTTTTTAACGTCACCAACGTTGGACGAATTAAAAATTTTTTTATATTAGACTGGATACTTGTGACAATGTGCACAATTTACCTTCTTGGTTCGTTGGCTTTTTGTCGTTCCTGTCGATTTGTGTGCCTGTAAGGGATTCATTTCCGTAGGCTTCGACCGGTTGGTCGTTGTGTCGCAATAATTTTGTTGTTTTCCCGTAGGATGTGACCTGTTGGTCGTTGTGTCGCAGTAATTTTGTTAATTTCCCGTAGGATGTGACCGGTTGGTCGTTGTGACGTATAATTTCGTTGATGCTTTTTTGACTGTCGTTACTGGCGTTGACTGCTCTTTAACTTAGTCTATCAACTTGCGTCATGTATATACTTTGATATCCGTGGATATCCTTAGTTTCTGCTGCTATTAAGGCGAGCATGCGTCTGCGATGCGACAGTCCATGTAAAATGTCACCGTAATGTTTGATTTCTCATTGTGCCGTGAATGTCAAATATGTAAATGGTCGCTGTAAGTACGACGTAATTTCAAATTGCTTGTCTGTTTTAACGCTATTAGTTTACTGAATGAAGCACATTCCGTTGAGAGCTGCGTCAGCGGTATTCTTTGTTTATGTTGTAGCTCATAACTTTCCAGTGTCAAGGTCTCCAGTTGTAATACGATGTTGCTGTTCTAATCAGTTGTAGCGCTGCCATTGACCTCGGTACTTCCTTGTTTATATAATAAGTGGCGTTAAGGGCGTCTCTTTTGCGGGCGCGGTTGTGCGGCTGTAGGACGGAGGGCGCGCGGCGACCATGCTTCTGATGCGATGGGCGCTTTCGGAGCAAATGTTTTTAGACGCAAGCTTCGTGGCGGGCGCGTGTTGTGTTCTTCCAGTCGCGGTGTGTTCTTCATCGTCGGATTGTTCTTCGTCGTCTGGTTGTGTTCGTCGTCGGCGGGGTCACCACTTTACCATCGTCGGGGTCACCACTTTACCATGGGTTACATGGTATAAATAAAATATATATGTTGTGGATATTTGACGAGAGTTTACTGGATACTGAATGAGGATTGACTGACTGACTGACTGAAGATTACATTTTGTATGAGCTACTTATACTAATTTGGTACGTGTGTTCTATGCTGATTCCAAAGGCATGATTGTAACTTTTGCTTGCACTAAGACGTGCCTGAATGTCGGAAGAGGGTTAGACATTCTGGCACGTCTATGGCTGGTACAGGCACACAACTGGATTAATTTGAAATTAGCATAATTGGTGTCCAGGCTGAGTGAAAATAACATTCATAGTTTTCTCACAGGTAGCGCTATGGCAAGAAAGCCATTTACAACCAATAACTAAGGTCTGCAACAAGCACATGGAGAAATTTGTGAGCTCTGCTGAGTCGTTCCGTAGCTCATTTGGAAGTGCCCGTTCGTTGGTTCGAGTACAAGCGGATCGAAGGAATTGTTGACCTTGTTCGATCGAAAATAAACACATATAAACTTACATTGCGATGTTTTCCTGTATGAAGGCCTCATAACAAATAAGGAAAGGTTTCCTGTTTTATTACGTGTTTCAGCCGCAGGTTAGGGTGTCCATTATTTAGCAAAAATTATTAATGTTGTACAGATTGTTAGAAATAAAAATTAAAAATGTTGTACAGA